TATAACATACACGCCAAGATTTCACACAACATGTTCCAGACATATTACTTTCCATTTTCCCATAAGCCAATCAAGGAAACAACATTCCCCATTGGCTATTTTTTAGGCAAAGCAGAGATTAAACACTTCTTCATGGTTGCACCATAACTAGTGAACAAGAGGCAAAAATTATCACCGTTTTTATTTTCTCCCCCTCTTTGACTAAAAAGATACAATGGACATAGAACCACCATTAACCAATAAACCAACAAAATATCCCACATATATGACGTTACGCACATTCTTCCATATTAGATTATCATAGTGCAGCGAAACACACAACATGTTAGATACATCACCATCATAAGCATGGGCTTTCAAATAACAACAACACATAGTAGCAGCAAAACAATCATATCATCATCTGCCTCACAAACTTGCAGTAGCAGCATCAACAAATTGAGGTGAAAAAGCTCCAACATTTCTTTATCAAACACCAAATCAGTTTTGTTGGAAAATTATTTATTTCCTTATTTATTATTTCTGTTTATTCTCTTCTATTTTCCTTTATTCTTCATTAAGGAGAGAATTAATTATTATTATTATTGTATTACCACTATATAAACCAGTCTAGAGACTAGGAATAAAATCACAACAATATTTTATCATTTATTCAATATGGTATCAAGAGCATTAGGTTAGGGTCTTACTATAAAGCTCCCTATAACTAGTGGGGATCGGGGTTTTAAAGAAAAAATTATGCTTGACCCGCTTTTTTACCCGACCCGTCTCACATACTCGTTTAGCCTCTTATGGCGAATTAGAACAACAAATGGACTTCCCCAGTACATACCTACATCAGATCCAACCATGGTGGTGATCATGAATTTCAGGCTAGTAATTTTGATCAAGGGCAACAAATATCTTCGAATCGACTTCCACTCATTACGGAACAACTAAGACAAACTGTACAAACTCCGCGAGTCTCCAACTCCTTCTTGCTCTATAGTAATAAAAGGTAATTTTGCATTTCTTAGTGTCAGTCTCAGTCATGCTTGGATAGTAGATTCAGGTGTCTCTGATCACATGACAGGTGAATCTATTATGTTCTCTTCACATAGTCCATGTGCAGGTAATCAAAAAATAAAAATCGTAGATGACTATTTTTCATCCATTGCAGGTAAATGGTCAGTTGTGTTGTCTCCAGTGTTAACTCTTAAAAATGTTCTTCATGTTCCAAACTTATCATGTAATTTAATGTTCGTCAGTAAATTAGCCTAAGATATGAATTGTCAAACTATTTTTTTCCAATCTCACAGTGTCTTTAAGGATTTGAACTCGGGGAAGATGATTGGCAGCGCTAAGGAGAGTGTAGGACTCTACTACCTTGACGTATGATCTGCATCGCAACTACCTTAAAAAAAAGTTCATGCTTTGATTCTTTTTATGTTTTGAATAATAAAGATGACAACATTATGGTATGACATTTAAGATTAGGTCATCCTAGTTTTCGTTACTTAAAACAATTATTTCCTAAGTTATTTCACAATAAGAACTTTTCTTCTTTTAAATGTGAAGCATATGAGTTTGCAAAACATCATTGTTCCCAATTTTCAATACAGCCTTATAAACCATCAAAACCTTTTTCTATTATTCACAGTGATGTTTGGGACCCTAACTGTACAAGTACACTCTCTAAAAAATGGTTTATCACATTTATAGATGACCATACAAGAGTATGTTGGGTGTACTTGTTAAAGGGGGAAATCAGATGTTTATCAGGTTGTAAAGAATTTTTTTACAATGGTGCATAATTAATTTTAAACAAATATCCAAGTCTTTAGAAGTGATAATGGCAAAGAATATTCTAACACTAGCCTGGATGAGTTTTTTTTTCTCTAAAAAATGGGGGTTGTTCATCAAAGTTCATGTCCTAATACTCCTCAACAAAATAGAGTTGCCGAAAGGAAAAATAGATATTTATTGGAGGTTGCTAGAGCTCTAATTTTCTCAAATAAAGTACCAAACTATTTATGGGGTGGAGCTGTTTTAACAAGCATATTTAATTAATAGAATATCCTCCAAAATTCTCAATTTTCAAACTCCAATTAATACCTTCAAAGAATATTTTCCTAATACTCGTGTTTTAACTGATATGACATTAAAAGTTTTTGGTTGCACAACTTTTGTTCATGAGCATAAAAGGTTAGAAAACTTGAACCACATGCTATAAAATGTGTTTTTGTTGGATACTCCCCAACCCAAAAAGGATATAAATGTTTTGATCAAAAAAAAAGTTTGTCACTATGAATGTTACATTCTTTAAAAATAAACCTTTTTTTATGACACTCATCTTCATGGGGGGGGGGGGGGGGGGGGATATAAAGGAAAACTTGTTTCAAATTGAGGACATGAGTTTTTTAAATAATTTATCTTTGCCTGTATCACAAAATTCTGAGACTTATACTTCTGCACCAATAGAGAATGACCATGGTTCTTTATTTGATCCTACTCTTGTTATGAGTAAGGAACTTTGTGAATTGGAGCCTACAACTTCTCATCTAGAAAATAATGAAAATCCTAAAAACGATGACAATGATGATCTAATTGAAATACCACAAAATAATGAGTCACTTCAAGAAAACATATTTGAATTAGGAAATAGGACTTGGAAATGGAAGATTTTTTTGAAAAAAGCATCATAAAGGAAGGGATGAGTCCACATCTCAACACTGTCAAGAATTTGAATCGAGGAATGATCAACCTCCTAAGGATAGGAAAGGTAAGTCCATCTCTATTTATGAAATTCTCATTTTGTATCCTAATATAGATGATCCTATTTCCATTAGAAAACTTGTTAGATCTTGTACTAACACCCCATGTGCAATTTTATATCATATTCAAATTTGTCTTCATATTTGTCTGCCTTCACCTCAAAGTTATCTAGTGTAGAAACTCCAAAAAATGCACAGATTGCTCAAAGTGGAAGGAAGTTGTACTTGAGGATATAAAAGCTCTTGAGAAGAACAAAACTTGGAGTGTTACAACACTATCAGATGGCAAGAAGACATTTGGATACAAATGAGTGTTTATTGTGAAGTATAATTCAGATGGATCAATTGAAAGGTACAAGGCTCACTTGGTGGCTAAAGGCTTTACTTATACCTATAGTATAGATTACTTAGAGATATTTGCTCCTATTGTAAAATTGAACACTGTCAAAATTTTGTTATCTCTTACTGCTAACCTAGATTGACCCCTACATCAATCAGATGTTAAGAATGTTTTTCTCAATGACGATCTAGAAGAAGAAGTATATATGGACATTCCTCATGGCTTTGAAATCAAATTTGGATCGAATGTGTGCAAACTAAATAAGTCTCTGTATGGATTAAAGCAGTCCCCTAGAGTTTGGTTTGAAAAATCCACTCAGTCCATGAAGAAACAAGGATACATTCAAGGACAGGTTGACTACACCTTATTTATAAAGTTCTCCCACAATGGAAAAATTGATGTCCTGATTGTTTATGTTGGTGATATTGTCCTTATTGGAGACGATACAATAGAAATGACAAAAGTAAAATAAAAGTTGGCGGTAGAATTTGAAATCAAAGATTTGGGATTCACGAGATATTTTCTTGGTATGAAGGTTGCTTGGTCAAAAAATGGTATTGTGGTTTCACATTAGAAATATATTCTAGACTTATTGAAAGAAACATGAATGAGTGGATATTGTCCTGCAGATACTCCTATGAATCCTAATGTTAAACTTTGAGGGGAAGGTAATGTTCTTGTTGATACTGGAAGATATCAGAGATTGGTTGAGAAACTAATTTATTTGTCACACACTCGACCTGATATTGCTTTCTCAATTAGGGTAGTAAGTCAGTTCATGCATTCTCCTTTCGAGGAACATCTTGAGGCTGCCAATAGGATACTGCGATATTTGAAGGGAAATTTTAGAAAAGGCTTATTTTTTAAGAAGACTAGTGAAAGAAATGTGTCTATCTTCACTGATGTTGATTGAGTAGGCTCAGTCACAGATAAAAGATCAACCTCTGGATATTGTAACTATGTTTGTGGTAATATTGTGACATGGAGGAGCAAGAAACAAGGAGTTGTAGCAAGAAGTAGTGCAAAAACCGAGTTTAGAGCTATGTCCCATGGTATTTGTGAAGGATTATGGATCCTTAGAGTCCTAGAAGAACTTAAGATGAAAATAGAGCTTCCATTGAAATTATACTCTGACAGTAAAGCTGCTATTGACATAACTCATAACCCAGTTCAACATGAGAGAATCAAGCATATTAAGATTGAACGACACTTCATAAAGGAAAAGTTTGATACAATCATATGTTAATCTTTTGTGACTTCAAGTCAGTAAACTGCGGATATCCTAACCAAAAATTTAACAAGACCTATCTTTGAGCATTTGATAAACAAGTTAGACATAATAGATATCTATACACCAACTTAAGAGGAGGTGTTAGAAAAATATTTTATTTTTATTTTATTTTTTTATTTTCATTTATTCTCCTTTATTTTTCTTTATTCTTCGTTAAGAAAAAAATTAATTATAATTATTATATTATCACTACATAAACGCATAGAACTAAGGAATAAAACACCAGATCGTTTTACCCTTCTCTTCAATAAATTGAAAAAGGAAGTATTTACTTTCAAAACCAAATATATCAACAAATATTATTTTAAATTATAAAATACTGTAATGTAAAGCCATACTTTAATGTTTTAAGCAATGGTTGTTTACTAGTTTAAAGTGATGTTCAATTTTAAATAGGTTTGTTTTTAGTAAATTGTAAAATTTACTCTTCTCTTATAATATTATATCATGTTCCATCATTCAAAGGCTTACCAAAAAAAACAAAACAAATCGTAGGAACACAACACCAAACTGAATGACGAAGTGCATGATTCGTTTTTAAAAAGCATGTCATGATTTGAGTCTGATCTTTTCATTGTTTGAGATGTGTTGTTTTCTCTCTTTTTATTCCCAAATTTCAACACTCAAACCCTAAATTCATTTTCAAACTCAACGAGAAGGTTGTACTCTCGATTACACGATGAAGAAGAAGACGAACACATTCCATTCTTCTTTCCTCATTCAATCGTTTGCTCCATCCATCTTCCTTGTCAAGGCCAACCATTACTCCACTGCCGCTTTGCTTCATCGACAATTGCTATTAACGGAAATTACTTCAACATCTTGATCAATTGCTTTTCTCAATTCGGTCATTACTCACTTTCATTTTCTGTATTTGCCAACATTCTTAACAAGGGTCTTTGTCTCAAAGGTCAAGTCCATCAAATAAGGTCGTAGCTCAAGGATTTCAACTGAACCGAGTTAGTTATGGGACATTAATCAATGGGTTATGTGAAGTTGCCTTGCAATTATTGAGACAAGTTGGTGGGAAATTGGTTCAGCCTGATGTGGTAATGTACAACACAATTATTGATAGTATGTGCAGAGATAAACTTGCTAAAGATGCTTTTGATTTATATTTTGAAATGATTGTTAAGAGAATTTCTCCTGATATTGTCACTTACACTGATTTAATTAGTGGCTTTTGCGTTGTTGGTAAATTGAAAGAGGCAATTGATTTGTTTAATAACATGATATTGGAATGAAAGAGGCAATTGATTTGTTTAATAACATGATATTGGAAAACATCAACCCGGATGTCTATAACTTTAGTATTTTGGTTGATGCATTTTGTAAAGAAGGAAAAGTGAAAGAAGCTAAAAATGTGTTTGCCGTGATGATGAAAAAAGACATAAAACCTAACATTGTTACTAATAACTCTTTAATGGATGGATATTTCCTAGTTAAAGAAGTGAATAGGGCCATGGATATATTCAACACTACGACCCAAAGAGGAGTGAGTGCAAATGTTCGGAGGTACAATATCATGATTAATGGATTGTGTAAGATTCAAATGGTTGATGAAGCTATGAGTCTTTTCAAAGAAATGCGTTGTAGAAAAATTATTGCTGATACTATAACTTATAGATCTCTTATTGATGGCTTATGCAAATTAGGGAGAATCTCATATACTATGAAGTTTGTCGATGAGATGTGTGATAGAGGGCAACTATCTAATATAATTACCTACAATTCTATATTGGGTGGTTTATGCAAAAACCATTATGTTGATAAGGCAATTGTATTATTAACTAAAATTAAGGAAATTGGTATCCAGCCAAATATGTGCACATACACTATTCTTATTGAAGGATTGTGTAAAAGTAGAAGACTTAATGATGCACGAAAGATTTTTGAAGATCTTTTGGTGAAAAAAGGCTACGGTAGACCGTAGCCTTTTGAAGATCTTTTTTTTCCAAATATCTTTCTTAATTGATGGCTGTAGCTGCCCACTTAGACTCATAGACTGACAACTACTGTGATTTGATTTGGGTTTTGGTGAGGTGTGCATTGTTTATCGTGCCTTGGAAAGTGATTATAAGATATTATTGAATGTTGCTTAGCCTTGCTTTATATTCAAGTAAAGTAATTCCTAGAATTCAAGAAATCTATGAGCATACAAAAGATGAATAGATTTTAAACAATAGTGTGTACCTGTTTGTTTGTAGGTATGTAAGTGCATTGTATCCATGCTCTATGAAAATCATCAATCTCAAACAATGGTGCAACAAACTTGGTGTGTCTCTTGTGTGCATCGGTGAAAAAGGTTGTTCGAGAAAGGGTTGTTCTTGCTACTGACAACAGAAAGCAGTACTACACAGCAGAGCCCAAAAAGTTTGCCTCACTTAGATTTTCTATTCTTTCTTAATTAGTTTCTTTTTGGAAGAGAAAGGGTAATTAAAGTTGGTTTATCAGTTTTTTCTATAATGTAAGGTTTTATCAGTTTTTATAAGCTCATTTTGATTTAGTTTCTGTTAGTACCAGATCATTTTATTGCGGTTCTTTCAAAACAAAGATATGTTGCCCTTGTTATTTTGTTAGTAGCATATGAAAGTAAATCACATTCACAGATTAAAGACAACCAAATATTTCCTGATAATATAGGTTGTTGAACTAGAACAAGTTCCTAAAAAGAAACTATATATAACAAAATTAGGTCTGAGTTAGTTCAAAATATAGAGAAAGATTCTACATTTTTTAACTCAGAAAAATCTATTTTAGGAAATTATTTCACATTTATGGTGTTACATGGATACAAGGTTGGTATGGATGAATTGATATGATAGTTGACTAAATTATAATTTATAGAATGGTCAAAACATATTATAAGGTTTAGTAAATGTCTTGGCTCAAAATTGGGGTCTTTAGAGATGCAAATCAAGATAATAAATGTCACTGTGTTCATATCAATATTCAAGAACCTTATTGAGGCATCATAAGTGATATAAGACACACTTAAACTTTAGTGCGACAAACCAGCGACTAAAATCTCTATCTGCGATGAATCTGTGAGTGCAACGAACTGGCAGCCAAAACCTCCACCTGCAATGAACCCACGAGTGCAATGAAGGTACTGTGATCTGAAATACTTGTTGGCTGTGAAAAACCTTTCAAAGTATGTTATGGGAATTTTCTTTTACTAAATTGATGAAGAAATAAGAATAAAGAGATGTTCAAGTTGTTCTTTATGAAATCGTTTTTTTCTTTCTATACAATAAATCTAGAAAAACGTGTTACTTATGGCATTTTTTATTTGCTAATTTTAGTGATGTCTAATGTTTGCAGATATTGGCATTGAAGAGTAGTGAACCAACTGAATCCATTAACCTAAAAAGTTGTCAAACAGCAACACATATTCTACTTTAATGCACCTTGGAGTGAAGTATTGATTATTGAGTACTAAAAAGTTGTTGAAATTGTATGCTATCTAGAACTAAGATTTAGAACAAATGGTACAACTATTATAACTTCTTCAGTGTATTGGTTGCTTATCAAATGAGAGTTTTGTTGTAAGCAAATGATTGATTGTAGCTTAATGTTTGTTAATGAATTTTATGAAATTTTCAAGTCTCTCCCTCTATCGTGCAATTTGGTTCTTCATTTGTCTCCTGGTACATATGGTTCACGTCTCCTTGTTCATGTGTAACCTCAATTTCTTCTTATTAGAACCACATGTACTATTTTATGTGCGGTGGGATTTATCTTGGTATTAGAGAGTGAAGGAGCGCAGAGGCGTATTATGTGTGTTGCAATGAGACTTCAGTGACAACATTTGATTCGATCCATTACATTTTTATGAATGAGTATTGATTTTGTGAACCTTCACAAGGCCCCTTGTAAGGAGTGTACGAGGTTGTTTTAAGTATGATAAGAAACAGTTTGAATTCTTTTTTGTTCATAAAATTAGGTTTACTAAGATGTCTTTATCTTCCTTTCTCATTATGTTACAAATGAGTAAGGAGTAAATCTCACACTAATTCTATCAAGTTGGCACTAAATATCGATTAGAACATGACTTGAATACATATATTTCCGTCGTTAATTAGTTAAGACATAATATCCCCTTTTTTTTTTGTTTAGCCAACCAATTCTGATCTACATAGTGAATCGACTAATATGATTTTGTGATTAAGAGAGACGACTTACTGGTCAAAAACCAGAAACACAATTTGTTTCTCACTCAGAATTTAAGATATTGGAGTGAGAGGGGGAATGATTCTCTTCCTTTAACTTTTTTCGGTGCAATTACAAAGTTTGTTTTGTGACACAAGTGAGGAAATTAGGGGTGTTCATTGATTCGGACAATTCTGATCTACATAGTGAATCGACTAACATGATTTTGTGATTAAGAGACACGACTTACTGGCCAAAAACCAGAAACACAATTTGTTTCTCACTCAGAATTCAAGATATTGGAGTGAGAGGGGGAATGATTCTCTTTCTTTAACTTTTTTCGGTGCAACTACAGAGTTTGTTTTGTGACACAAGTGAGGAAATTAGGGGTGTTCATTAGATTTGTCCGAACCAAACTGAAATCCAAACCAAACCAAGGTGTTTGGGTCAAATATTTTTTTAGTTCGGACAAAAACCTAACCAAACCAATGAAACCCGATGTTAATTGGTTAGGGCAAAAGATTTCAAAAATTCTACCCGGGAGTCCGTCTACTCGAACCAACCATGTAAATTCATATAATTTATATCATTATTATTATGGAAACTAATATAAGATATTCAACTTAAGAGAAATACTTAGATTTCTCTATGTTGCATGGGCATCTTCAACAGGAATTTGAAAAATCAAATTTACTAATTGTCAGAACGAGTTGTACATGTGTTAATTAGTGGTATATTTTATAGTTAAATAGGATTAAAATCCCATAAATAGGATTTGATTAGCTGTGTATGTATTTATAGAAATTATTGGTCCTTACTTATAGAATTGATTGAGGGCAATGATAAGTATTTATTAGGAATTTCCTTTCCTAAATATATTGTATTCTATTTAAGAGCACAGGCTGCTCTAATCAATAATAATAAACATTATCTCTGTCATGGTATCAGTGCTCCAAAATCCATAGGAGCCTGTTAAAAATTGTGGCCTGCATTGCCATTGTTTCCGTTGTGCGGCCTGCATTGCCGATTTTATTTTACGGTCTATCTTGCCGTTTTTCCCAACAAAATTCAGAATGTCTGAACCAGTTAATACCCCTGCCCCAAACACCGGCTCTGTTGAGCTGAAAAATGTTCAACCTAGCCTTCGTCTCAATGGTAAAAACTACCTCAAATGGTCTCATTTTGTCCAAACCTTTTTAAAGGGGAAGGGCAAATTGAATCATCTTACTGGAAAGGATACTCCAGAAGCTACAGACGGGAAATTTGCTGCATGGGATGAAGAAGATGCTGTTGTAATATCATGGCTATGGAATTCCATGGTGCCTGAGATTAGTGATGCATGCATATTCATGAAGACTGCCAAAGAGGTGTGGGACAGCTGTAAAGAAAACTATTCCAAGGTTGGTGATGCTGCACAAATTTACGAAATTAAGATGAAGATTGCAACTACCAAGCAAGGAGATCGGTCCATTAGTGAGTATGCCCAAACTCTACAAAATCTATGGTTGGAGTTGGATCACTATGAACATTTTGAAGCAAAATGCACTGCAGATGCTACTTTACTAAAAAATTATAAGGAGAAGGATAGAATCTATAAGTTCTTAACCGGTCTGAACAATGAGTTTGATCCAATAAGGATTCAAGTACTCGGAAAAGAGTTACTCTCACTAAATGAAACCATGGCTGCCTTTCGAACAGAAGAATCACGAAGAGGAGTGATGATGGAGCCTCAATCAACTGAAAGTTCAGCCTTAGTAGCACAAAGTCGAGAGAAGAACATTGACCAATGGAAGAACGGTCAAACCGGAGGAGCTCCCAAAATGGAGATTGAAAGAGGGGATAACAAGGATTCTCTATGGTGTACCTTCTGCAAGAAGCCAAGGCACACCGAAGACAGATGCTGGAAACTTCATGGAAAATCGCCAAATCAGAACCGAAATTGGAACACCAAAGGCATTCAACGAGGAGGACCAGCACATGCCCACTTGGTCCAATCAAGTGTTGTCAAGGAAAGTCATTCCAAACCTACTGCTGATTTCAATTCAGAAGAAATTACAAGACTAAGGGAACTACTAGACTCTTTAGTCAAACCCACAAACACAGGTAGTTCTTCCATGGCATTATCAGGTAGTTCTCATCCCTATGCTCTTAGTGTTTTACAATCTATAGGAAAAGGGACATGGATTGTTGATTCTGGGGCTACGAATCACATGACCCATTCCTCTATAGAGTTTATCTCTTACACACCGTGTCCAAGTAATAAAAAGATTGTCACTGCAGATGGCACTTTTATTACTGTTGCAGGAAAGGGAGATATTCCACTAAGTCAAAATTTAATGTTGAGAGATGTCTTGCATGTGCCCAAATTATCTGCCAAACTGTTATCTATTCACAAACTTACAACAGATTTACAATGCTTGGTAACATTCACTCCTACACTTTGCAAATTTCAGGATCAGGAAACGGGGAAGATGATTGGACTTGCTAGAGAGGATAATGGGCTCTACCTTCTTATGGAAGCGCGTGAGACAAGTAGCATTAAGAGTCAACTTCCACTGTCTTTGTTGTCAGAATCTATTCCTTCCCTCAATAAAGAAATCTGGTTGCGTCACTTCCGGTAGGGTCATCCTTCATTTAGCACTCTCAAAAATATGTTTCCCACCTTGTTTCAAGGTATAAACTTAGAAAATTTTCACTGTGATGATTGTGAACTTGCTAAACACAAACGTGTCAGCTTTCCTAATAATAATAAAAGAATGTCTACTCCTTTTTCCTTAATCC